GAAAATGTTATCGCACGACTTGATAAAATTTTAAGAAATTAAACAAGAATTAACACAAATGCCAAATATGATTTAAACAAGTTAAAAAGATAAAGAGAACAATTGTAAAAAAAGACTATCAAACCCTCAAAACGAAAAATATATTGAATAAACATCTTACATTATACATATGTTATAAGAACGACTTTTTTCATATAACATTTTTTTTTCTTCCAATGTTTGCTAAGCATAAATATCAGAAATTTTTCAACTACAAAAGACATGTCCCTAAAAGACATGTTGACCCAATAATGCAAATTACTTACTTAAAAATGTCTCAAATTCAAGTTGAATTCATAAATTACATCTAATGTGTCAATACTATCACAATTTAACATACATTAAGTATATTTATGATGTGACTGGTCACCTTCACTCGATATAAAACACTAAGTTAGAATGTAATTGATTAGTTGCATGTATGTTGATAATTATATATTGAAAATATACACATTATTCCAAAAAAAAAACATAATTTTTAAAATACAATACATAATATTTAGTATTTTTACAAAAAATAATTTTATTTGTAAACTCAAAACACAAATGAAAAGTGAAATCATATATACATTTCATGTTTACCTTTACACTTTTAAATGATGATTCATAAAAATGAAGAATTTTTTTATTTTAATATAAAAATAAATTATGCGTTTGTTGTTTTTTATATTTTGCAATATGAATTTTTAGGAATTCTTAGTAAATCTTCTATAATATATTTTAAGATGAAATAGGTGAATATCATATATAAGAGTCAGAATTAGGTATATAACATGACAAAATAGTTAATTAAAAGAATAACGCAAGTATATAACTTAACGAAGTGAAAATATCAAAAATAGTCCTAAAACCTTATGAAACAGAGAATGTGGCTTGCTATTGTGTTCTTATACACGTTATCCCGTGTGTGTAGTGAATAATAATTTTACATTTTATTCTATTGATCTACGTGCCAAAAAAACATAACTACCAAATCATGCTATACAACTACTCTACCACAATAAAACATACAATTATAAACTCATCAAAACAAAACATATGTTATGTTGTTTTGTTAACATTGTATCCAAAAACAGAGTTGTGAGCTTTCAAAAAACAGAGTTGTGAACTGAATTGTTCGACTTTTTTTTCATTAATGAAAGATGGTCTTTAAATAGACCTTTACAAAGAAACTTGAACGTAAACAAACGAAACTAACTCCTACAATTACTGAAACATATTACTGAAAATAAGAGCTAATCTATGTTCTGTAAAACAGGAGATTTATTAAATTAAAACCAAGTCAATAGGATTTGTTATTCAAACGTAACGTTCATCTTTCCAACGGCTCTTTAGTCTTCA